TTTTTTTTCTTCCAAAAAAGGAATTTCATTCATGTTGCTTTCAGCAAAAGGGAACTACCGTTAGCACAGCAAAATTATCGTAGCGAACAAACCAGAAAAATTACTAAATTTACCTGCTAACAAGGGAAACGGGTGGGTTTTGATTACGCATAATGCGGCTTCTTTCATCCTGGCAAAGCAGTTTCAACTGATCTGAAAGCGGATTTTTTTTTTTAAACTTAACACACAAACATGTACGAAATGAGGAGGAAAGGGGATTGTCGCATCAGCTTTTATTAGCATCACAGCTTAATGATCACTGAAAAAAGCTGTTCTACAAATCCAGATCCATATTTTCTAAAGAGCCAAGTAAGTGGGCAAACAAACAAACACGCATGCAGTGATGCTCGCATTCAAATAAATTGCTTATATTAAAAAACACATAAATATGCAAACCATTAAGAAATTTTTCCCAGGAATGGAATGTCTGAAATTTGAAATTTGCTGGATTTAAGCCGTGCATTTTGCAGAAATTGTTGATTAGCGAACGAACAAGCACATGCTCCTTCACTTTACCATACTGTAGCTGCATCTTCTTCAGATGTGTCATCTCCTCGAAAATTGCTTGTTCATGATCGCCAATCTGGCCTGCAAAAATTTGAAAAGTCAAATTCAAATCCTGCATTTTGATGCCTAAAATTGAGCTTGCAACGCCAGCACTTACTTTTTACATTTACCCGCTTTTTCTTGCTTGGCCAAGCGTTTAATTGCATGGATTAGAAAAAAATAAAATTTATCATCTTTTGAAACTTGAAGTCTATTTAACGCTGCTGTATGCAAAAAACCATGAAGGCTTTGCCGAAGATTACATTTTTGAGGTTGTCGTTGCATCCTTGTTCCTTTCCCTGTATTTCCGAAACTGTTAACATGTTGCGAACCAATCGGTTCTTTCAATTTATTATGTACGTGCGCAACATCGCCCTCACCACTCTCATAATCGTAATCAACATTTCCATCATCACTGTCGGCAGCATGGCCTAGGTCGGCTTTTGATGCATTTTGTTGCGAACGATATTTCCTCTGTGCATTGGCATCACTGATGCTAGCAGTTGTTATATCTGGAACAAGAAATGGTACTTCAAGTCAGTAAAATGTGCAGAATTTTTTTGGTTTAATTATAATAAAAAGTCGTAAGTTATTGAGCTAATAAATTTCAGCTTACAATGCCTGCCTGCGAACCACCTAAAATAGAAGTGAAATTTTTGAATTGGCATAGTATTCGACGGCTGCAAAAATATGCAGATATTGCTAAAACGCGTTAGTAATAGACAGTAGCTAACCGGACTGAGTATCGACATCATCATCATCATCATCAGTAGCACTTATATTTTCAACATCTATCGCACCATTCGGCCGCTCCTTATTTGTACTGTATTTTTCACGAACAACTTCTGCCTTGCTTTGCGGTTGACCAGCTTCCATCCGCTTGTTTTGATTACGGTGTCGGTCTTTCGCTTTATTTGAAGCAATTCTGCAACACCGAACAGGATTTCTGATAAGTCTTT